GGTCTGTGACGTGACCTCTCGTGTTAACAGAGAAGAGCTCATAGCTAGAGTCTCCTCTCAGTTCAATGGGAAACTCAATATCCTTGTAATGACATATTCTTTTTTCATTTTTTCATACTAAAACTTATCTAACCATGACAAGAATGAGAACCGATTTGGGATCCAACTTGTAGGACTAAAACATTCTTTTTTGTTAATATTTTTGAATGGATTTAGGTAAACAATGTGGGAACAAACGTACAGAAGCAGACCCTGGACTTTACAGCGGAAGATTTCGCATTCCTGATGAATACGAATCTTGAATCTTGTTTCCACTTAAGCCAGCTTGCACATCCTCTCCTAAAAGCTTCAGAAGCTGCAAGTATCATTTTCATATCCTCCGTTGCTGGTGTTGTAGCTACAAACTTAGCATCCATTGTATATAGTGCATCTAAAGGTGATTGTTCATTGCATTCCATGTGGCAGTGTTAGTGTTAGGTAGCTAGAGTAGTAAAAACTAACCAATTTGAAATGGTGTACGTAATTGGCATGCAGGAGCAATGAACCAAATGACAAAAAATCTAGCATGTGAATGGGCAAATGACAAGATAAGGAGTAATTGTATTGCACCTGGGGTAATCAGAACTCCTCTGGCGGAAAAGGTAACCCTTTTGTTGGCATTGTTAGTGTATGATTATTGTTGTCATTTGTTTTGTTTTTTTGTGTGGACTGAGGACATCATATTTTTGTGTTGTGTTCTTGAAGAACTTGAAAGAGGAAACAATTATAAATGCTGTAATTCCTCAAATCCCTCTGGGACGGATTGGAGAGGCAGAGGAAGTGTCTTCGTTGGTGTCATTTCTGTGCTTGCCTGCAGCCTCTTACATCACAGGCCAGATCATTTGTATTGATGGCGGCTTCTCTGTGAACGGCCTCCATGTATTCTAGCCCTTAGTTTTCACTTTTTCTGTGTTACGTCAGTTACACTCTCAGTTGCATTGCTTTCTGTTTCATGAAGAATAAATTAACAGACTGTACTTTCTTATGTTCAGTTTATTCACAATTAAATGTTGCATGATGTTTATTGTTTGGTCTTAAGATTCATGTCTCCATTCACCAAATTGTATTGAGTTCTCAAGTTATTAAATTATTATTTCTCTCTTTTAATTGTTTATTAATTACTTTGACAAGATTTT